TTGCCTGACATTACATGATAAAAAGAAATATCTTACAAAGTTATTCTTCTAAAAAAAATCTTGGTTATGTTAACTACCAATTACCATGTTATTGTCCTGCGCATTAGTTTTATTAATAATTTAGTTAAATGTTGTTTTTTAAAACTTACGTTCCATTATATGCACATTCTTTCTGTCTTTACATAGTATGTATGTATATATACACATTTGCCTTGACATTTATATGTTGTTATTTTCGTAGTGCAAAGCCACACTAGGGACTACTAGGGACTCGAGCCCCGAATTTTAGCGTTGTAAGTCTGTAAACTTAGCGCTAACTCACCGGGGGAAATATTTATATAAATAAGGGGTCGTTATCTAGTTACCTATTTATGACTATCATAGAATAGTTTACTTTGCTACATTTAAATTATATTTTCATATCCTAGGTTCGATGTGTCAGTCTGAACTCAGCGTCGAATGTTGTTTAAGTACCAGCATAATATCGACAACAGAGAAAGATCGAAAGTCCGCTTGTTTTGAGTCACTAAAAGAACATTGATTAAGTAGCTCTGATTCGAATGTTGTATTTTCTTGTGTATTGAGGCGCTACAAAAACTTGTTCTCCTCCTGCGTATATTGTTACCTGTTCTAACATGCCTCGAAACGGTGAAGACACAAAAGAAAGTCTGCTCAAAATGATACAAAGAAACTAAGATTTTATTAAACTTTTCACGAGCTTTTAACCAAACATGAATTAGTTAATAAAGACGCGCTTTCGTTATAGCTAAGAGGCTGGCGGGCCAGCAGGAGGTTACGCCAAACTTCTGATGAACTGGATATGTTTTGTAGGGCAAGAAATTTTATTTTTAGTGGTTTAAGTTAACAAAGAACACACATTCGTCGGTTGAAGTCAATATATTCCGCCCATTAATCCTTCTAGCAACGTTAATTGGAAAAATTTACCAAGGATTTATTACGCTTCGGTCTATTCTATATTTCTAGCTGACACCAGTAACATTTTCCTTTTTCTTTATGGATTTCAAGCTTGCTAGCAAGACAAGGCTTCAAGTTGGTAGTCAGGTTATTTGGGGTAAGCAAACACGGCTTCAGGTTAGTTGTCAGGTTGTTTGGGTAAGCAAACACGGCTTCAGGTCGGTTGTCAGGATATTTGGGGTAAGCAAACATGGCTTCAGGTTAGTTGTCAGGTTGTTTGGGGTAAGCAAACATGGCTTCAGGTTAGTTGTCAGGTTGTTTGAGGTAAGCAAACACAACTCTAGATCGAACCTACTATTGCTGATCGGTCGTCTAGAACGGTTTTTCAGTCTACTTGTTGTTCGGAGTGTATTGGTTGCTTGTAAACATAGCTGTCAAATTCAGTTGATTTTCTGAACATTCAAGAGCAACCAAACATTTATATCTGAAAACCTAGTTAGATTATTATAAGGTGAAACTGATGAAAAGAAACAAAAAATTTCCGAAGCTTTAACGTTTAAAAATTTGAAAACTACATTGAACGAATATCTCGGACTTATCTCTATCTTTACTAGCTAGAGTCCACATAAATCTTTTTTTTATATATGTTTTTATGTTACTATTTTTTTAATACTTTATTGCCACCTACTTTAAATAATTATAATTCAACACGCACAGACGAGAATAAGATTATATTTTGAATTTGTAAAAATTATTAATTGTACATAGGCTGAAGATGACCCGATCTTGTGACCTGAAACGTCGCAAATATAATTTCTTAAACATTTCAGCTGTAAAGCTGTTCATGACATTAAACTTAATAACCAATGTGATGTTAATCTTTTTACGCTAAATAATAATTTGTTTGGTGCAGATAACTAGTATAGCTTTTTGCCAAAATATCCCTAAACAACATAAATATTACCATCCTAAAAAATATTGAGCTTTAGCGAATTGTATTTGAGTTTATATTGAACTACTCTACTTTGAGCTCCAATTTGACAATCGTAAGCTACAACCTGATTATTGATATTCAGATAAACTTTTGCTCCTTTTATTGTACTGTGATTAATTGCTTACGTGTAATTTAAGTTTTATACTATTTTTACCTTCTTTAGGATAATATCCATGTTTTTATTTAATTTCCACTATAATTGACTTGGTTTTGATGGCTGTTAGGACCTGTTTTAAGTACGCTTTCCCTCATGTTATCCACGTGAAAGTCTCATGGTAGATTTACGGGCCATGTAAGGAAGTGATTATGTTTTGTTAATAAACACCTAAGTTTGGCCGTTTAACATTTCATTTTAAAAATCGACCCTTGGAGGTCTCTGAGATAAAGAGGTGGGTGGTAGCAGAAAGATGCCAGATTACCTTTCTGTATCGTAGGGTTTGCGAGTATCTTTAATTAATCGAGTATAATCAAGTGAATTTTTTGTTTATTCAAAATATTTGGTCCTCTTGTACTGTAATGAGCCATCCACGTCTTTGCAAACACGATGTCGACAGTCATAGACTAAGTTTAAATACCACAATGGTTTTTTCGTGAGAGATTATATTTATATCTGACTGGAGGGGTGAAGGCTTGCACAGGAAAGTATAAGCGGTAAGTTAATCTCCACTGGAATATTATGAGAATGATGCCTGATGTAGATGACCCAAGATTGTAAGATATCACCCTAGGACCCCGCTGTCTGAATTTGGTTTCTTCTGCAATACGTTTCCTTGTGAACTTTTTATAATTGCGGAGTTGTATCTTTTTTGTTGGTTACACTTTTACCTGTAAACACTAGAACTTTTACACATCGATAAAGGTTTTTGTAAGCTTGATTTCTATCCAAATGCCCATGGTGACAAAAAAGCATAACTTGAAAGAGGTTTAGTAACCTTATACTAATAACCTCAGCATACATTAAATTTATTTATTATTACTACAGTTATTTATATAATAATTTAATTAAATTATGTTTATGGCTGACCAAGAACTTAACATTTTGATTCAGTTAGATTTACCATTTCAGTTTAATTCAAATGTTTTTTGCATGACCTAAAATATTTCATGATTGTTTATTTACATTAATGTTTTGTTCTTTGAAATGTTTTCACATTCTTATCATGTTAGTGCCTGTTCGAGCTCCTATCACTAGTCCATCTATAGAGAAAAGCAAGTCAACAGTGGTTGTTTTTAATAAACCCTGTAGAAGGATAAACATATATCCTCGAACTGTAATTGGACAAAGGAAATGAAAAGACTGTCTCCCTCTCTTTTTGATATATGTTTTATAAATATGCCAGAGCAACAACTTTCAACTATACACCGGACCGTCAGGCTAACTGCTACACACTTCAGTAAATCAATCAGTCTCTGCTGGCGAATATTTTTGCTTAAAATTAGAGCTAATCATGATGGAATGATATAAACAACAAAAGTCTTGGTTAAAAGTATTAGAAATAGTCATGTTAGAGTTGTTATGTTATACATAATATAATACTGAATGTCACTATGTTTTATGGGCTCTGTTTTTAAGTAGAAGGTAACATCTGACAACAAAATGACAATTTAATAATGCATTCAACTAACTAAAAACCAGCATCAAGTTTGTTTAGACTTGAAATAGTTAAAATTATTAAGTCTTATTGCTGCGTGCATTCACAATATTTAACTTAAAAGCCTCATGTTTTACCAACTTTGGCACAAAATAACGTGTATAATATACTTTAGGTGAATACTTCAAACATTTCAATATCACTTTGATGGTCGAGACCTAAACAAATTGCTGAACAAATAGTCTTGTTGGCAGCGACATTCAGCGAATCAGTTTAAACCCCATATTCTCCTGATTAAGAAAGTGAGTAGTCTAATTACGAGGAAAGGGAATTAAAACACACCTGTCTTCAATCGTGACTTTCATTTTTTTTGCAAGCTTAGGTGTTTCACGCTATGATATTAAGATTCTTGAACCACGTTCAAATATCATTTCAGATAACAATTGGGACAGGCGTGGCCTAGGGGACAGCGTGCCGGACTGGAAAGTGGAAGGCCCATGGTTTGCGCCCCGTTACTGGAAAATCACGCTTCTCAAATCCCAATATTTGGTCACACAAGAGTAGCCCAAGAATTGGTAGTGGGTGCTATTATCTAGCTGCCTTCACTCTAGTTGTGAATTCAGTGTTAGGGACGTTTTGTATACTTTGCACGAATATTTGTAACAAACAAATAAAAATAAGATAATTAGGACGTCATAGGCTCAACCAACAGATTAGTCGAGGTATTCAATTGAAGGGTTACTAGGCGCTTATGGAAGAAAAAAGAAAGGTCTGAAGGGTCATTTTCACACATGTCTGTTTTTATTACTAACGTAATAAAATATCCGCATTCTAGCGATTTTTATTGCACTTTTATCTTCTATTGAAGCTGTCAAAAATATTCAAATCTCAGTTTTGTGATCCTTAACAATAATGTGTTAAAACTCAATGTTTCAGTTGATACATTTTATCAACTTATCTACATGTGCTGTTATTGCAAAACTATAAATGATTTTGAGTTCATTGAATTTTGGTATTATATGGTGATACCGAAATTTTCATAAAACTGTCAGAGATGAAATTTTAAAATATAACTTGAGCGGGCATGGCCAGGTGGTTAGGACGCTCGACTCGCAATCTGCGGGTCGCGGGTTCCCATCCCCATCCCACCAAACATGCTCGCCCTTTCAGCCGTGGGGGCGTTATAATGTGACGGTCAATCCCACTATTCCTTGGTAAAAGAGTAGCCCAAGAGTTGGCGGTGGGTGGTGATGACTAGCTGCCTTCCCTCTAGTCTTACACTGCTAAATTAGGGACGGCTAGCGCAGATAGCCCTCGTGTAGCTTTGCGCGAAATTCAAAACAAACAATAATTTGAGCGATACTTATTTTCTACGGAACGATGACCTCACATAAAGATAACGTATTAACCAATTTTTTTTTTTAGATATAAATGTGTAAATTATAATTTTCTGCTTTATCGAAAAAATTGTGTGATTTTTATGAATTACATAATTTTAGGAAACTGGAGGAAATTACTACAACACCCAAGATGATACTTTATATGTACTGCTTAAAGAAGGGCAAGAAATTGAAGTCCGCCAAGAAGAAGTTTTGGACTTTAGCTTGATTTTTCCTGTAGAGTTAGACGATACAGATCGAACTGGACCTGAAGAAATGGATATAGTAGAAGGTGTCTCGTCGCTATTAGGATTACCCCCAGATGGCGCTAGAATAGTAGAAATTGGTTGCTGCAGGGAGAAAAGATCGTTGTTCCCAAACCAAGTAAATGCCGATGTTCGGGTAAGTAAAGAACATACTGAGAAAAATATGCAATAATATAACAAATCTGAATTTTGTTAAGTTTTATGGGACACCAGGAGGTTACTTTAAATAGTCTAATAAAGTTAACGAAATATTTACTGATTAGTATATATATATATATACGTGGTTTAAAATGTTCTTTAATAGACAACATTTCTTAAACTTAAACTTACTTTGGCATCAAATTGCTTGTCTTAAATTCGTACATGCTACTTGTGAAATAACTTCAAACTGGTTCACATAGCGTAGAAACTATTATGGTAAGTGTTTCCCATTTGAACATCTGTTGGAGCTCCCAAAGACTTGGGACTAGTAATAAATGGGTAATCGAACCTCTCGTTCGTTGTTCAACAGCCGGAAATAAAAGAGTTTTCAGTCAGATGTTACTGTTAATAAACTAGTAAACGTTATGCACTAACGTATAACTTAATGCTACTAATTACTTATTTACCACAGCAAGTTGTACAGTTTTCGATGAATTTCCTTAATTGCTAAGAAGACTTCAGTTAGAGTTTATTATTGTTGTTGTTTTTTTGCTGTTGAAAAAAATAGGAGCTCAAAATTAATAGTCCTAGCTTACTACCATTTGTACTCAATATTAAATAAACCGCAAACATTCTCCACGATAAATCACGGTATTCCTGGAGATGAATTCCGGTGAAACTACACAAATTTACTTACACAGATATTGCATGATGTTTATCATCTACAGAAGTGGTGCAACCGAAAGATGCAAGTTGTAATGATTTGTTTGTTATGTACAAATATACACAATGGACAATATAGGCCGTGCCTACTGCAGGGATCGAACTCTGTGTCTTAGCATTATGGGTCCTTAAGCTTACCGCTTAACGGCAAAACAAACATTAATATTTCAGTACAAGTTGAAAAGATAACCTCGTATTTTTTTTTTATTGACAAGATTTTCTTTGGAATTAGTTTGAACGGGTTTCGTATATGAATATTTCGAACATTCATAGCTAATAGCGGCCTTTAATCTAAGAAGAACCACGCTGGATACTTGAAAAGCATAGATAGTTCTTATATAACTAAAACTTTAAACGAATGTAATAAGACGATATCTGAAGGTCCAAGTTGGAAGCCCACCACTCTCTACTAACGGATCAGTTGAGATAACGCCAGTCAACTCTACTGAAAAGTACGTGGATGTGTTGACATCAGCTGTTCAAAGTGGACACATGGATCAACTAGTGAAGCATGAAATTCATTCACTACGGGTAAGATTTATAATTTCTGACTGTAATCAAAATAAACCAAACATAAAATATATATCACAAACATGAAAATATATATTAATGAAAATTTCACGCATTTCATTAGTATATTCATTTTGTTTGTTTTAGCGCAAAGCTATACATTAGGCTACCTGTGCAGGGAATTTTAGCGTTGTAAGTTCGTAAACTTGCCGCTGACTTACCGGAGAAACTTTATTTGCTAATCTTAGATGCAAAAGTAATATACAGCGAACGACTTATAAGTTTGCATTAGGCCTACTAATGGGCTTTTGAAAAAAAAAATGTTTGAATTGCAATATTAAGATTTGTTCTTTTATTAAGTTCCTTTTCATTGTAGATATATTTCTTACTTCTAATTACAGGTATTAACAAATAATATATTTGAGAAAAAGCAGGAAAAAAAACAGGTCTGTACTGACGAACGTTTTATCAAGAACGAGATTCGTTTGTTGTTAAACCTAAAGATACAGAATGGGCTATCTTTGTTGTGCCCCTAACAAAACCCGTTTTTTAGCGTTATAAGCTTTTAGACTTACCACTGAGCCACTGGGGTGGGGCAAGAATAAGAAAATAATAATTATAATTTGCGTTTTTTATTGTTTACTGTAAAATATGGAAGAAATATAATTAGTCAGAAAGCGTAAATCGAATATCAGAAGATTTTTACATTAGAAGATATATTTTTGAAAGAATTAAGTAATGTGTTTTAGTTAGGTTATATCTACACAAGAAATATAATCTAAAACGTAGATGCTTTTTTTTCACGTTCTTTATAATTTGTCAATTTCACATTCGAATCAGATATGTGTAAAAGCGACAACTCACTGCCACTCACTGCCCAAGAAGCCTTTTGTACTATACACGAATTCGTCAGTACAAATCTGAAATGTACAAATTAAGAGGAACATGAAAAAAAAAAGCAGTCTATGTGATTTGTATCACAAATGTCAGGAATATTGGTTGCTAATGCTTCACCTACTTCCGGCGTTTAAACGTAATTTGTAAGTGAACAATGTTAACTGTTTATTTGTTTGTCAATAAGAAAATATACAACTTGAAATAATATTTAAACCAAATACTTTAATATAACAGATCCGAAGCTACATTGGTGGAGACATGGACACAGTTATTGAAGGCACCACACTAAAACGGACACGTCGGCAGAATAACCAGTAAGTTGTACACATCTTACATACATGATGTCACATTACGAGGTTGTAAAAAATCTTACAACTTAGTGAAAAACATAAAGATTCATTATGTAAAAATGTATGCTATCTATCTAACCTGAGCGAGTACTTACTGTTATGCATTAAGAGCTCACGTCGTCAAGCAATTTTTGCTAAAATAAATGTTTGTAAACTTGTAACATACATTGTTTGGCGGTTGTTAGTCAAACACATATTATTTGCAAGCTTTTAACGTTGCTAGGCTACGAAGTGAGCACGTCATAACTCTTGACGTAAGTTTACTGACGTACGTTCCATTAAATGGCATACTGTACGCATTATATGTTTGTTTTATAAACACGTAAGCGTACTTGACAGTGCTCCGAATCCCCCAGTTGGTGTCTTGAAAAATCAGAATAGAAAAACCATGATCGATATCATACTCAAACGCCGAAAATTCCTGCGCCTATGGGCCCGGGCCTCGAATCTTTAAATCACCGAGCGACGACTCTGTACAGCACATCTTGTCAAAATAATAAATGACAATTATAATTAAATAACTTACAGCACACCTTATCAAACTACTAAGCAAAGATTGTAATCTAATAACTTACAGCATACCTTATCAAACTACTAAGCAAAGATTGTAATCTAATAACTTACAGCACACCTTATCAAACTACTAAGCAAAGATTGTAATCTAATAACTTACAGCATACCTTATCAAACTACTAAGTAAAGATTGTAATCCAATAACTTAAAACACTCCTTGTCACACTTATATGTAAAAATTGTAATCCAATAACATAAGACACCTTGTCAAACTAAGTAGATTGTAATCCAATGAATTAAAACACACCTTGTCAAACTATTAAGTAAAGATTGTAATCTAGTAACTTAAAGCATACCTTGTCAAACTACTAAGTACACATTGAGATGTAGTATATTACAGAACACCTTATTAAACTACAAAGTACATATTGAGATCTAGTATATTACAGAACACCTTATTAAACTACTAAGTACACATTGAGATCTAGTATATTACAGCACATCCTGTTAACGTTATTTGCATATTGTGATCTGATGCTTAAAATCACAACTTGTTTTTAGGTTTATGTAGATTGCTTAACTTGTTTCAGTTTTTATACTGAACACATCACAACGTTCAATTTAAATATTTCCACATTCTCTTACGAGTCATTTGATTCTAATAAGTGTTCATAGATTTGAAAGTATGGAGTTTTTTTTAAAGTAAATAATGATATTAATTTTTATATGTGTATAATGGTATATTTATCGATTTGAGCTGCTCATTTATTACATATTAAATTTTCAATTTTATTTGTACGAAGAAATCCTTCCACCATGACGGGCAGTTCATCGTTTCAAATGCCGTACAACCTTCTACTGTGCAGGGAAGATTGCACGAATACAGAGGCAGTACTGACAGTCTACGAGCCTTTGGTCATAACTTTGGTTGTTAAAGATGTTAATGTAAGTGACCACTTAAGACTCTACCAGTGTGTTGTTCCGCGTTATTTTATTATTTTCAGTTCACTACTATACATTTATATATCGAAACGACTAAAATAATTAAAAGTTCGAAATGAACTCTGACTGCATATCTTTAAATTTCACCAATTAAAGAGACATCAGCCCTAACGTTGTTGTTAAAGCATTTCCTGAACATGCTTTGGTTTTGGTTATTCTGAATAAGATATTGTTTTTAAGCCAGAATAGTATCAAAGATATTTACTTGTAACTTAGAGTGATATTTTACAATAATTTTGGATAGTAAATATAATTATCATTATCTTATGATCAAAGCAAGCTACCAACATAGACCAGAATTAAAAATTAACCAAATACTGAATATAGCTAATTAAATTTGTCATTATTACTAGCAGTGTGCAAAGTCATAAAGAAAAACAACTATTAATGATTACAACGAATATATTCATCATTTGGGTGCTCTCATTGTTAACGATATTTTCGGCCGTAATCCTAATAACATCTCGTAAAATTTGGACAGCTTGAGAGGTTTATATCAGACCAGATTCCAAACTCTAAGCTAGAAGTGCAAAAGCAGTTACGATATTAAATAATAAAAATATAGAAGTTAAAATGATTGTAAATAAATGAAAATAAAAATAAATGTATCAAAATTTTAATCACCATAAAAGTAACCATGAAATAATAGAATGACATTTAGATAAAGTTATGTCTCTCTCTTGTTAATTTATCACCATATGCAGTTCTTCTAGAACTTATGCTGCGATAAAGTGATTTCGTTGTTCTTGTTCATATATTATTATAAGCAATTCTTTTAGAACTTCTACTACGGCCTGGCACGGCTTGGTGGTTAGGGTGTTCCACTCGCAATCTACAGGTTGCTGGTTCGAATCTCCGCCACCGAACGTGCTCGCACAAGAGTTGGCGGTGTGTGGTGTTGACTAGCTACCTATAACTAATAAATTATATATAACTCTGGAGTAGCTTTTCGCGAAATTCAAAACAAACCAAAGATTACACTGCGATAAAGTTCTTTCTTTCTTCTTGTTCATTTTTCACCATATGTAGTTCTTCTAAAACTTATATAGCGATAAAGTCCCTTTTCTCTTCTTGTTAATTTATCATAATTTGCTGTTCTTCTGGATCTTACACTGGGATAAAGTTCTCTCTCTCTCTTGTCCCCATTGGGTAAGAGATAGGTTTACGAACTTATAAAGCCAAAATCCGGAGTTCCATTCCCCGCGGTGAACACAGCAGATAGCCCGATGTAGCTTTGCTCTAAAACAAGCAAAGTTTCCCTCTTCCTTCCCATTTATCACCATATGTAGTTCTTCTATAGTTTCTACAACGATAAAGTTCTTTTTCTCTTCTTGGTCATTTACCACTATATGCAATTCTTCAATTAGAAACTAATTTACTGCTTTTATTTACTGTTCTGTTTCAATTTACTCTGTACTTTATGTACTTTATATGATGATTTCTTATCTACCTCGTTATAAAAAGTAAATTTTACAGTTTGCACAATTTTTCACTCTAAACTAAAGATGGCCATCTTTTCTTGATTCTTTTTTTTTTTCTTTCTAGGACAAAACTAAGTAACGACGTT